ATGTGGGTTTTCAGTGCCCCATATGCGCACATTATGCCTGTGAACTTTACCCGAGACATTAAATGTTGCCTCGTCCGTGAACATGATTCTTTTCAAGAAGTCCAAATCAAGGTCAATGCAGTCGAGCATTTCTTCTGCGAAATGTTGACGTGCTATGCCATCACCAGGTTTCAACTGTTGCACTAACTGAACATTGTATGCACATAACCTCGACCTCTTATGAAGCACTTTGTGTACCGTTGAACGTGGGCGTAACAATTTACGCGAAGCTCGCCGTGTGGATTTTGTAGGGCTTCGTACGAACGATTCACGGATTCTTTCCACACATTCATCGCTTACACTCGGTCTGCCACTTTTCTTGCGATCATGGACGCTACCAGTTTCTAGGAAACGCCGTTGCCAGTCTCTTATTGCATTGTCACTCGGAGGTTGCTTATTCAACTGTGTGCGGTAATTTCATTGAGTCTGGGTGACTGATTTTGTCTCAAAAAGCCATCCCACACAACGCGCGCGTTCATGCACAGCAGCAATTTCACAAACAACTGACTGAGAAACGTAAAGATGGCCGCTTATGCCATCTGTTAGGGAGAGAGAGAGAGAGAAAAAAAAAATCCAGAGTTTCACTGTAATCTGCCGCAAACCGCATGTGACTAGCTCAATTTGTTTGCGAGCTACAATTTTTCAAAACCCCGAAGGGACTTTGTGGACACACTGTACTTTATAAATGTCCATTTTGAATTAAAATTACGTCGTGTGGTGCTCGCGCCAATATAAAGGTCTCCTGTATCTCTTTGTGCGGTCGCATTAGTATACATATAATAGCTCTTTCTAACATTTTAGAGTCTTCAATCAACAGTGGTGAAAAGGGTCAATCCGGGTGAAAGGCAGGGTAAAGTACGCCATCACCTTCCACCATTAAGCGCATACCTGGGCGGAAATACCTCAGCAGCACCCGGCGCTGGCAATTGTATTTGAACAAGAGAATTAATTCTATAGTCAAATCAATATCAGAGCGTGCCACATACGAGCGCTGCGTAGGTCTCCTCAGCCAGAGATGAACTGTAACTGTTCCTCGCCCCGATGATATTTCGATTCCTCATTACAGTCCATCTCCAAATGCAACTCTTAAAAGATGTTAATTGTATCATTTCAGTCTACAAGTGCAATGTGTAGTAGATTTGGCGATTATAGAATATTTGTATCTTACAAACGCATCACGTACGAACGCAAAGGTATGGGTTATTATTATTATTTATTTAGTGTTCTGTTTGACGACAGGTCCATATGAACAGGATCCTTCCATCCTTTTCTCGGACTGGGACCTGTTCATATACTTTCTTGGCAGATTATCCAGAAGTGGTTTGCCATTGCCTTCTTCTGTGTGTGAATGGAGTAATTGTTGGGATGCCACGGAGAAACCGGGGAAGCCCCGGAGGAAAACTCCGTGTTGCCTAGACCACGGCCTTGCCCAACACAAGTTATAAATTCGGGCACCAC